ATGATGCGCGCGATCAATCAAATTCGAAATTAGAAAGCGTCGTCATATATTGAGTTTGTTAGTGAAAAAAAAAAAAATATATAGTGTCAGGCCGCGAGAGTATAATCGATAGTCGTAGGCATAGAGCGTGTGTTAACGCGGCGAATTAAACCTGTTACTTGATCTGATTACAATGCGACTATACACGTGGAAGAGGACTATCACGTCCTGAAGAGACGGTAAGAAAACAAAATATATATACACGTACGAGCGTAAACCCAAGAGCTAAAGATAGAAACGAAAATTTGTTTTTACGCTGAAAAGAAAAACAAACGTGTATTTTACATGATAAAAGATAGGCTTTGCATTTTTATCGCAAAGCACGTGCTTTGTATTTTTCTTTTTTTTTTTTTTCCACAGCGTATAATTGCAAATAATTTTTGTCGCCTCGCGACAATATATTGACAATTTATTCATAGAAAAAAAATCACCAGTAGATAATATATTGTAATGAAGAGATCGGTTTTGCGATAAAGTCGCGAAGTACGTGCGATATATTTGTAACACGTGTCGTTATATTTATTCTACCGTATGATAAAAAAAAAAGTCATTAAATATGTATCTAATCATTACGTCTTTATCCAAAGCGCGTTCAATTTAACAATTTGTAAGCTTTAAATTTTTTCTGCACATACGTTCCATCTTTTTTTGTGAGCTTTTTTATATACAAGAAAAAAAATATTATAAACTCTCACGCGCAAATACTTTGAGATATCTCGTAATTCCCATTTTTTGACGAATCCTGTTTGAAAAAAAAAAAAAAAAAAAAAAAAGAAAAAAAACAAAACGCGAAATATAACGTGTACTTCGTTTTACATATATATCATAGGTATATGTAGTATAATTATCATTATACCACGTTTTAAATTGCGTTATGCGATTAAATTATTATTTCTCAGCTCTCTTATCGGAAAGCTGAGAAGCTGGAGATCGAGAAATCTCGCAAAGCAAAAAAAGACCAAAATTATACCAAAAATTATATTCGCAAGATCTGCACTCTGATTAAATATACAGTCCTGGCTCGTACGATGTCGAGGAGAGGAGGGATTGGAGGGACTCGGAGAGGGATCCGGAGGAGGGCCGTGGAGTTTCGGTCGGGAGAGAAACCGGCGCGGCGAGAAACGCGACTGAGAGAACGAACGCGGCGCCCGAAACGAAGGTGAAGGGGGGACGTGATAGCGCGCCGCTCTTGAAATCGTTCGCGAGTCGTCCGGCGTGTTACTATGCAACGGTGCCGCCCTCGACGGTGATCCACGCGAAGTCGACGATTTCCATACGGAGGAGGATCTCGTCCCGGGGGAGTTATTGCTGCGATCTAGCGAGCGATCACAACAACTTTGCGTTTTCGCAAACTCAACTCGGATATTCTGACCGTAGGTCACGAAGACTCACGTTGATTTGGATTTTTTATTTTTTTTTATAGCACGTTTAAAAAAAATAAAACATACGTACGTCGAGAGAAAAAAAACTTAAGATGCAGTAAATAAAAAAAAAAAAAACAGAGTTGTCGTTACTTTATATGACTTATATAAGTCGCGTGATGATCTTATACAAAATGTGTGTGTGCAAACTGATAAAATTTCTGGATAACTAATTTCTGGAAAAAAAATCCGAACTAATGCGAATACGCGTACATTTCGATATAACATATACTTGAAAATGTACATCGAAGTTGTTTATTTTCGCCATTGACGAAATTTATTCTGCGTGATTTTTTTTGTTGTATAAATAGAGTGACTCATATATAAAGTGTGCACGTGTGAATCACGCGCCTTATTTCGCGTGTAATTTATATACGTCTGACACGAATGAAAGCCAACGGATACCTATCAATGTTATCTGATTATATAACTTACATCGAATGCCTTACCTTTGCATTTGACTCCCACTTTTCCAGTGCCCCAGATATAATCTTCGCCTATAACAGACAAAATTTTGAAAGTCTCGTTAAAAACATAACGTTAACACAATGTAATAATAAAGAATTAAAGCAAATTTGAATATTTAATAAAGGAGATAAAAGGATGATAAGATCAACGTCAAAACATAATTTTAACATCAAATTAACTGTAGAAGAAATGTACTTATAAAAAAA